AGAGGAGCTTGTTTGCCCAGGTGCAAGCTTTATGGCTGCAAAGAAGCCATTTTGAGGCCATCCTGCCCAACAGGGTACATGCCAAGTGCTCAAATTATCCTGTTTCCATCTGTCTGACAAAGTGGACGTGCCCACAAAAAGCTCACGTCGAAATTTATTTATTTATTTATTTATTTATTTATTTATTTATTTATTTATACCCCGCCTATCTGGTCGATTGTGACCACTCTAGGCAGCTTACAACACACACTATAAAAACAAATAGGCATATACTGTAACATAACACATAACATAACATAATTTGCATAAATGAAAAGAAATAAGTTTTTTTCCCCAAAGATGGCAAGAAACAGGGTATATTGTAACGGAATAAGAAAGAAAGAATAATTAGGAGTTAACTGGAAGGGGGAAAGGCCTGCCTAAACATCCAGGGCTTTAAACATAAGCATCAAAACTTTGAAGTCAGCGCGGAACCGAATGGGCAGCCAATGCAACACAGCCAGAATAGGAGAAATGTAGTGGTATCTTCTCGCTCCACTCAGGAGTCTGGCCGCTGCATTCTGCACCACTTGGAGTTTCCGCGTCAACCTCAAAGGTAGCCCCACGTAGAGCACGTTACAGTGGTCTAATCTTGAGATTACGAGCGCATGGACCAAGGTGGTGAGCTCCCCCACATCAAGATAGGGTCGCAGCCGGGCTATCCGCCAGAGATAAAAAAGGCGGTGCGGACCACCGATGCCACCTGGGTCTCCATGGAGAGCGCAGGGTCCAGATGGATCCCCCGACTGCGGACCCCACTCTTTGTGGCAAGGGTCACCCCCCCAAACGAGAGTCACCCAAGCCACCAACAGTGGGGGCACCCATCCTCAGGATCTCCGTCTTGTCCGGTTTCAGCTTCAGCCCATTCTCCTGCATCCATTCCAGTACAGTCCCCAGGCAGCGCTGAAGGGACAGGATGGCATCACCTGCAGTTGGTAAAGACAATATAATTGTCTTTAAGGTGCCACATGTTTTTGGCTTGTTCTTCCTAACATTTCGCCAGTCTCTGTGGCCGGCATCTTCAGAGGACACTCAGAGCACAGAGTGCTGTCCTGTGAAGATGCCAGCCACAGAGACTGGCAAAACATTAGGAAGAACAACCTTCAGAACACGGCCAAGAAGCCCGAAAAACCCACAACAACCATTAGATCCCGGCCATGAAAGCCTTCATGAATATATAAGAAATAGGGCTTTAAATGTAAGCATCAAAACTTTTTTTACTATATTGGTTATTAACACACTATTATTTGTCATAAGTAATAGGAATGGTATACAAGTGGCTATTAACCCACTGCCCTCCCAAGCATCCTCAACTGCTATCAAATCCCCACTTAGCCACAGAAACTCACAGGACACAGAAGTATGCTAAATATCTTAACATTTTTCAAAAGTCTTAGGCTTGGAGTAAGTCAGAAGCAGCTTGATGGCACATAACAGTAACAAACTACTGTACACCAGCAGTTCCCAATTTGAATCTAGATGATTGTGGACTACAGCTGAATTCCCAGTCGGATGCCTAACTCATTGAGCTTTCTAGCCAGTTTATGCCAAACTACGGCTAAGCCTAGGAATCTCAGAAGCGTAATCTTAAAACAGTAGGAAGTAGGTGGATCCCTTCTAGTGTGAATGCACTAAAACAATGTGCTGTGTGTGGATGTCTGTTTTACATAGAGCATCTCTTAACATAGGTTTTGAGCTCTTCATAACCTGCAGTGGGATCTGTTTTTTACTATATTTGTTATTAACACACTATTATTTATTATAAGTAATAGGAATGGTATACGAGTGGCTGTTAACCCACTGCCCTCCGAGGCATCCTCAACTGCTGCATGATTATTGGAAGACTTGTTTGTTTCCAGCAGCTTGCGATCAGCAGCCTTTGGAATATATATCATACCGGCCACCACTCTTAATCTCATATGTGTGTTTTGGCAGTTCCAGGAGGCACCACTGTCCTAGTGGAGCTCACTCCAGATATTCACATCTGCGGTCTTTGCAAACAGCAGTTCAATAATCTAGATGCGTTTGTTGCTCACAAGAGAAGCGGCTGTCAACTGTCAGGCCCAGCAAGTGGCGACCCTAGTACAGTACAATTTGTGGCGGAAGAAACAGTACCGGCAACACAAACCACCACAAGAACAATTACTTCAGAGACACAAACTATTACAGGTACTACTTTATCAAGGAAGTTTTGGAAGTGGTTTCTAAATGACCCCCAAAAAAAAGGAGGGAAAGAAAAGCCTTGCAAAAGTTTTTGTGTGTTTTGTTTTGTTTTGTTTTTTGGTGGGAAGGGATTACAGTTGCCCCTCCCCTCCAAAAAATGACTTTTCCAAGGTATGGAAAAATGTAGCTAAATACATGTGACAGCCAGGGATGCCTTGCCCAAGTGACAATAGTATTGGTTGGGGGGGTACATATTTTGCAAGCAGAAGCATTCTAGAGAAAGCAAAGGGCTTCGTGGCGCAGTGGTTAAACTGCTGTACTGCAGCCAAAACTGTACTCACGACCTGGGGTTCAATCCCAGGTAGCCAGCTCAAGGTTGACTCAGCCTTCTATCCTTCTGAGGTCGTTAAAATGAGTAGGGGGGGGGGGGGCAATGTGAAGCCTGCATAATTAACTTGTAAACTGCCCAGAGAGTGCTTGAAGCGCTAAGGAGCAGTATATAAGCAGCATGCTTTACATAAATATATTACTGGAAGACATCGGTCTAAAGGTGGGATATTGGGAATCTGACAATGTGGCTAAAATACAGCAGCATAATTTGTGCCACATAAGGCTGATGATGTCATCAGTCAGAGTAGTTGTTTTGAAGTTAAAAATTTCTGACCACCAGGTCTTGAGACTCTCCATCCCCCAGCTTATGGCCTCTAGTGGCTTCTCCATGACCAAGGGGACCTTAAGGCCTTTTGTGGGGAGAGATAAAATATTCCTAATTTATAGAAAATCATTGTGACTGATGACATCATGAGCCTCACGTGGCGCAATTTACACTGCTGGATTTCAGCAGTGTGCTGGAAAAGGCAGTGGGAAGGGACAGAGAAAAATAGACTGTGAAAAGGAATTGATTAAAAAAAAAACCAGACTAGATCTTAGAGGTCTTATATACCCTATTTTTCCCAGTTGTACTACAGGAGGGAGAAACAGCAAATATTCAAATATGAGTTCCTTGGCTGAGTTACAGCTACTGTTGGATTGCAGCAGTAAATAAGCACTGTTGAGGCTGAGAACAAAGAAATGAGGAAAATCTTGATGCTCTTTTGTGGTAAACAAAGAATCTAGCTGTGAATTCCAGCCCGTCTTTGTCCCGTTTGAAGTGCATTGGACCTTGTTAGTTGGAGACAGATTAAACAGCAAAATTATCAACAAAGAAACTGTTTGTTTTGTTTTTAAACGGTTCTGTCCTATAACCAAAGTTCCCAGGCAGTATGCAAATGAATTAAAAACATGATATATAAGATAACAATAAAGCCAAGCAGAACACAGATGCAGCCAACAAACGGGGTCCAAATTCTAAGATTTCATATCAGAGGAAAAAAATCACTGATATTCAGATGTGACTCCCTCAGGTGATAGATTGTTAGTGTCACATTGCAGCAGGAAGTATGTGCCTGCTCTTCTGTCTGGAAGAGTCCCCAAATGGTCTTGGACTAAAACTCCCAGAAGCTTTCACCACCAGCTGTTCTGGCCAAGATTTTTGGGAGTTGTAGTCCAAGAACATGTAGAGAACCAGGGTTGGGAACTGCTGCTTTTGATCCTCCATTGTTTTGCAAAAATAAAATCCAGCTGTGAATTTTGGCCTGTCTTGTTTGATGCTTATGGCTACTTGTTAGGTAAGGATCAAGCATCCAGTAGGAAAATGGCAAATAATAACTTTCAAATAACCTTAGAACTACAGAGCTGGAAGGGACCCTGTGAATAACTGAGTCCAGCCCCTCTCAAGGAACTGAACTCCCAACTTCTGGCCCCACAGCCAGATGCCTAAGCCACTGAGCTATGAATGTAGAGATAGCGTATAAGACACTGCACTAGCATTGCCTAGTGATTAAAATCTAAACTCTGAATGAATAAAACATCAGCAAGTAAAATCAACTGGTATTGGAGTTCACCCTGCAAGATTTTACTGTGAACCTTCTAATTAACAAAAGTGTCAACTCCTGCTCAGTTTCATATGGGAACTTTAGTAGTATTTCTCTCACTGCCAAGGTAACCAAATTAAAAAAGGTAGAGATTATTGCATTAGAGCCTTGATATTGGAAGGACACTCTCTCCCTTTCCCCAAAATTATAAGCAATGTGCTTTTGCAATGCTTTGATGCTAACAACAATTTTTTAACATATTTTAGTTTCTGCACCTGAGTTCGTTTTTGAGCATGGCTACCAAACTTACTTACCTGGAGAAAACAGTGAGCCTCAAGCTGATGCTGTTATCCCCACACCACCAAAACCTCGTGTCAGAAAAGCCAGCACTTCCGGGGCACAAAAGAAACTGAACTGCTGCTATCCGGGTAAAATATTTGCTTTGTTTATATCTAACGGAGCAGTTTCTGCTTCAATTAGTTGGATCTCTTGGTCATCTGAGGTTAATAGATGTTCCTGCTTCAGTTATATGTGAAGTCTTTTGGAATAGATGTTGAAAGTAACCTCAAAAGAAATCCACGATTACAACATCTCCTCAAAAAATTATCATCTGGCAACCCTATAATTGTAAACTTGTAAAAAATAAAAGGGTCCATCATTTTCTGAGGCAATCTATTCCACAGGCTGGCATTTTTAAAAAAAATTGTGTTGGCATGGTGGCCATATTTCTGAACGAGGGGTGATTTTGATGTGGTTTAATTTACTAGGTCTTCTTTCTTGTTTCTTTTGTCAGCAGCTTTTGACTGGCAGAGCTACTTTGCTGCATGCAAATACAGGCTTCAAAGACCACACAGATATCCTGCATTCAAAGCAACACATAAGGGTCTTGGGAGGATCCCCTTTTGTTTTTTTAAAGGGGCCAACAACATGTGAATTATTCTCCAGATTATATTTGCATTCTGCTGCTTCCAGAGATGGGATGAGGAAACAAATTGGCAATGCTTAAATTAATTCTTAATCAGTGGTATTGCTACAAAGTTCCAAGAAAATTCATGGATGGAAGTACTTTTAATTACTTTATATGGCCATTGATTGTGGAGAGGAAAATATTATTTATTCTGCAGTTAGGTCAGGTAGATCCATTAGGAAATAAACAATCATTTTTGGGGGAACATGTCTTTGAGAATCTTAACTAAAATGTATGGTGTGTGAGAGGTTCCTTTTCCCTCCCTCATCTCTAATTTCAGATGCCATATATAATTCAAGCAAAGCCTCTCAGGACATATGCATGAAATGCATCAATAGTGTAGTACAGTGGTTCCCGATCTTGGATCCCCAGATGTTCTTTTTGCCAGCTAGTAGTGAAAGTTTCTGGAAGTTGCAGTCCAAGAACATCTGGTAACCCAAGGTTGGCTAACCATTAGTGTAGAACATTGTTGAGAATACAGTGGTGCCTCGCATTACGACATTAATTCATTCCAGCGAAATCGCTGTAGAACGAAAATGTTGTAATGCGACAATAAAAAAACCCATTGAAATACATTAAAACCCATTTAATGCATTCCAGTGGGCTAAAAACTCACCATCCAGCGAAGATCCTCCATAGGGCGGCCATTTTCAGTGGCTGTCTTGCGAGGAATCTGTCCCAGAAAACAGCGGGGAGCCATTTTATTTACCCGGTGGCCATTTTGAAACTGCCAATCAGCTGTAGGAAAATCGTCGTTTTCGCGAAGCATCATCGCAAAGCGAAAAAAGCCTATTCAGACCATCGTTTTGCGATCACAAAAACGTCGTCGTAATGCGGCTTTGTCGTAATGTGGGACAGTCGTAAAGTGGGGCACGACTGTACAGTTGTTCTCAGTCTTTGGTTCCTCAGATCTTTTGAACTTCAGCTTACCAAAGCCCCAAGTTTCATTGCTGATGGATTCTGAGAGTGAAATCTCAGTACTTTTGGCAGACTAAAGAGTTAGAACTGGGGAGAAAAAAGCCTTTCCCAACAGTGCAGCCTGCAGTTGGGCTCGACAGCAGCTCCCACAGTTGCCAAGCAGTACCGCTATGTCAAGTTCAGGTTGTTTTGGTGAATATCAGTGTAGTGTACAGGTTGTAACGGAGGGCCAGGCCCAGAAGCATTCAGATTCAAATCTACACACAGCTATTGTATTCATTCAAGTGTGGCACAGTCTCTCAAGTCTATCATACCTGAAAGGGTTTGTTTGTTTAAAAATTTGTATCCCGCCTTTCTCC